ACTGCAACGTCTGTCTTATGTTGGACATTGGTGTCAGCCTGATGGTTCTGAAGTCAACCTGATTTTCATTTCCAAACAAAATGCATTGTCCCAGAATGTTAGGGCACAACATCAATCTGACGTCATGTTGACTTCCTGTGCCTGCTGGGTTTGGACTGTGGGGGAAACCCGTAGGAAATCCACACCAACACAGGGAGAACATGCAAACTACACACAGAAATGCCAATTGACCTAGCCGGGAGTCGAATCAGCAACCTTCTTGCTGTGAGACGACGTTGATAACCACTGAACCACCGTGCCACCGATATAAGGACACCTGTAACTCTTGCTTCAATAGACTGTATAAACTATATTTAAGCTGTTGTGACGTGAACACAGTGATCACTCACTCCCCCACGCATCGTTTACCTCTGCACATGTTGTAGCACTGCTGATGAGTGCACGTGTGTCTTCATCTGTGTGTAAACATGTAAACAAACACTTGCGATCGGTTCATGAGATCAGCCAGATCGACGAGTACCGATCGAATCATAAAATGTAATTAGCGGCCGATATCGATCTCTGGCCGATCGATCAAAGCATCCCTAAATGTCACCTTTAAATCTCAAAATAAATTTATTTCTGAATGTTCAGAGGTATGGTGTTTGATATAAGACTTAGCTCTTTGCTTTTCAGCCCTTGCGTGACTAGCAACAAAAGTCTTCAGGCCTTTTGCCCTCGACTTTTGTAAAATTCAGAAGGTACAAGAAAACCTTGTTCAAAAAGGACAAGCTGCCTGAATCTCCCTGAACACATTTGTATTACTCGGCTCTTTCTATTTTGGAGCTCTTGATAGTCTGCAGGAAAATTCACTTTCACTGGCGTTATACTTAAAGGGCTTAAAGTGATAGGACACTCAAACATGAAGATTTGATATTAAATTACTAACCCTCATGCCTTAAATTTCTAGCTAAAACAGTTTCAGATAAAACTGATTCTGCTGATTCTGACCTACATCTTGAAAAACTTGAAGATGAGTGGATTAACAGCTAATGGTAATGGGGTATTGCCATTTTATTGGTTGATTAGGTTGACAGATATGTAGACGTATGGATGAATCAATGCTAATGTGTGAATCTTCAGCTACGCTTCTGTTAGAGATATTCAAGTTTTCATTGAAAACAAAGATAATGGTTTAGATTTCACATATAAACACTTATGTTTACAATAATGACCAAAATATTGTTAATCAAATACCTTGAGGTTTCAAGTTAATGTTGCATTAATTACAGTTATTACCAGTTAAACACCTCATGAATAGTTCGTCTTTGAGTCTTTAAATCAGGGTGTCCGCGATGTCTTAAAGTATTAAAAGCTGATCAATCAATTATGAAAAAAATTAAGGCCCTTAAGGTCTTAAATTTTGTTCAAGCTATGTCCAAAGTGTTTGACTCAAAAAAAAAGCATAAATATACATGGTTTCCGCTACATTCATTCTTCCATGGCGGGATGTCGCGCCAAAATTGATCCCGCCATGGCTACATTACAGCTTCTCATTCAAAACATTTTATTTTTTTAATAACGGGTAATAATAATTGCACCAAAACGTATTAAAGGGTAAGTGAATCATAACAGCACAAACTTTTCTGTATCCGTAGTAGTGCTGTGCGTCATTTGTTTACCCTTTAAGGTGGCGTGCTGACTGACAGACAGGTGCGTGAGGCCAGCAAACACGACATATAACCGTTTCACTTTACTTCAGGACGCATTAATGTCGCTCTGTAGGTCTATTGAAGACATTCATAAATTTTCCTAGCAAATCTAATAAATGTTGGAGACATACTCGTTACATAAACGCACTAAATTGCTTTTTAGCAGCGTTTATTTGAGAGCGCACAAGAAGATCTGCACGCTCTTGAAGCGGCTTATATTTGAGGAGGCGTGCAAGAAGTTCTGTGCACGAGCAGAGGAAATGGGCGAGCAAGCAAAGAGATCCGCATACTCGTAGGCTATTATATAAATGTCGACTTCTAATACTGCGCTCACGACATTTGTCATTGAAAAAACGCCACAGGTAGTTGGTAGATCTGTGAAAAAAAAGGCCTGCTGCCACAGCTGGAAAAAATCCTAGATTGGTTCAGGCCGGATGCATCCAGCCAAGCTTCTCTGTCCGAGTGAAGTCACGTAATTTGCGACAAACGTGATGTGACGCTGTCCACATGTAGCGAAACCATAGAGCCGGTCTATTCAATCGGCGGCCCGCGAGACAATTTGTTCCGGCCCTCCATATAGTGTGACCAAAACATCAAAAATAAATTTAGTTCAGTCGAAAAACGGCCGCTATAATTATGAAGTGACGTGCGTCTGCTCAATAAACCACATGCTGCAGTTAAAGTCTGCGCAGAGCGTTAGTCACCTGACATTAAGCGAGTGGCGCGAGCAGCCGAAAGCATTTGGATACTTAAGCTTAAAGGCCTCTCAATGCCACATTTCTGTTGCACGGAATGAAACTGCTGCAACTAAACAAAGTTATGCCACCTTTGCGCTAGTTTAAAGTTCCAAGCTTTTAGCTACACCAAGGATAATATGCACGCACACTGGATTAACTGTAGCAGCGGGCTGTTCACATATAGCATCTTTTCTGCGTGCAAGTTCGTTATTTCCAATATTAGAATATATGAATTACGTTTCTTTAATTGTTGGTGTTGTTGGAATTTGAACTTGCGGACAAAATATAGAGATAAGATGCCTGCTCAGATAAGATGAAAAGATCTTGTGTGAAACTTTAAGCAGCGACCTCATCTGAACTGAAAGTCTGCTGCCTATTGAATCTGATTTTACAAACCCGTCTAGTTCTGCTCGCTTTGTTTGGTTGTGTAGACCTGGTGTGATTGTGCATTGTGGGCAGAGTGTGACGTCAAGAGGGAAAATCAGCCTGCCAATATGTGGCACATTTTGGCAGTGACCCCCCTCACGTGCGCGTGTGTGCGTATGTGTGTGTCCCAGCCTGAGCCCTGCAGCACATTAGCAGCATGCACAGGGAACGCCATTGATTTCTTATCGGCACCACACTGAGACACACCAGCCGATTCTCTCTTCATTTTGCCCATTTTACCAGTCAGAAACTTTAAAAATAACCACATAAATACAGAGGAAAGTGAGATCGAGGAAGAGTGGGACAATCTGAAAAATCTCACCATGGCTTGCTATTGTGTGTTTACCCTCCTGTAATGCACTGACTACAGGGAACCCATTGTTGAATGCTGGATGCAAACCTTTTGAGTCACAAAGTTTTCTTGAATGACGCTGTAAGCAGCCAGATATCAAGGTTGTATTGATCACCAATATGTGAAAATTGGTTCTATTGTGAAAGGAACTGAAAAGTTTATTCTTTGGTTCTTAGAATTGTTATTTTATTAAAAACTATAGCAGGGAAAGTGTTGAAGACATTTTAACCTTTGTCTTTATGCACTTGCTGAATATCGAATGGTCTCAAATGGCTGACTGAATTAACGTCTATGCATCTGAATTGGCACTATTAAGTTGTTGCGATCAGGACTGGGGAATGTTTACCTTGCTGACTCCAGTACTTCATTTTGATGCTTTGTTTAGATTGGTCTCCACCTTTAGTCACTACCCCTCCTGAAACATAATAGACAGGACGACTCTATCTCAAATCAGACTTGTTTTAGACTTATTTTAGACTCGAGACCTGTGTTATGGCCTGTTTCCACTGAGGGATACTGTATGGTTCAGTTCAGTATGCTTTTATGGTCAAAGGGACAGTGGAAACGACCATAAAAGCATACCGAATCATACCGTACCAGAAGTAAAAATCAGCCTTTAACAGAGCGGGGTCACATGACACGTAGGGAAAGTAATTGAAAAAAAATCGTCCTGTAAATGTTAGACCGAATATATGTTCTGAATGTCGATTTTGATTACTTTTCGATGCATCGCCCATCCCTATTCTCAAAAAACTTGGTGCCGTGACCCGGATAGAGACTGAAATCACTAAATTCTCAACAGTGGCCATTCTGATCCATTCATGATCCATCTTTTGCTTTTGATTTCATAATATTTTTATGTCAGATACTAGCAGTACTTCAAGCACCAACTATTGTTAGTAACACACACACACACACACAAACCATAAACATAAAGATTTGTAAGATATTTTAGTTAAGCCATTGTAAATTTTATAATGGGGTTGAAATGTTAGGGTATTTCTCAGAGAAACCTGGCTACAGAATTATTTCAATCATTCAGCTACACAATTATAAACTACACAATTATTTCAACAAAAAAAAGCAAACGTGTGTGATTTACGGAATGACTAAAATGGCTCATCTGTGTGTTACACATCAGGGAAAACTAACACTGAATTGAATTTAACTTAAGTATGTTTTGATTGACAGTGAAAATATGCCTCTGTAAGTGATTGGATCCAAACCACACACCCTTTTCCCATTCTAAACATAGCTTCCTGTGATCAATAAGAGTCATGCAGCCAGTGGTTTAACACTTTGTTTATTGGAAACACACTCCAACATGTAATCAATCGCCCGCTTCAGAACAAGTCCACTTTTTCCTCTCCCTCCCTCGTGCCTCTATATTTGTGTCCGTCCCAGCCTATATCCAGTATCTCTTTTTCCTTCCTCCCTTATTCTCATCTTTCCTCTCTTTACCACACAGATTATAATAAGCATCCTGCTTCAAATAGGAGTATAGTTAAGTAGGCTTTTTTAGCAGGCCATCAGCTCCAGCTGTCTTTTTACAGCCATAGTTGTTTTTATTGGCTGCTGCATTTCAGCCGCCCAGTTGTATGGCTCTCATCAAAGCCTATTGATTCAAACTGCTTTTCTGGCGTTGGCGCTCGGGGAGGAAGAGGCAGGGTGGCACAGGGGGAAAGAGAGTAGAAAGGACTGTCTTTTTTGCACTGAAGGCTACTGCAACTTTGGATTCTCATGGTTTTCTCTCGGCAGGACTAACGGTGTGTGGAAGCACACTGATCTTCCAGAATGACGAGTGCTGCACCTGCCCGGAAACCTTACCGAAAGGCACCTCCGCAGCACCGCGAGACGCGTCACACTGTGCCAGTATTTCGAGAGGATGTTAGCGGGAGTGCCTTGCCATCCGCCAACCCTGCAACGTCAGCCCAGCCTGACCCCTGCCAGGTAATTTTCCCCCGAAATCATGCACCTGTTTTGCAGCGTACACGGTTTACAGGCCCTCATCCGCAGAGTCCTGAGAGATCTTCATGGTCGCAAGCATCCGACAGCGAACTGGAAGTCTCAAGCCTTTCTAGCCTAGAACTCAGTGTTCTCCCTCCACCACGGATCTTCAGCCACAGTTCTCTTGTTATGAGACTTCCTCCCAAGCATCTTCGACAACAAAAAATGAACCGTTTCATCAGTCATAGTGATGACCTGCTGGTGTTTTCTGCTGATGATGATCTTGCCTCCTCGAGCAGTTCCCAGCAGTGCATCCGAGGCAGCTCTCCATCACATTCCAGCAGAAGTGCGGAGCGTTCCCTGGTCTTCAAAGAGAAAGCTGAAATACTTGTTCCGAGAGAAGAGAAGCGTCCACCGCTTCCGGCATCTCAGATGCATGTCCATCCACCCAAGGGCATTCTTAAGCAGTCTCACCAGTTGGGAGTTTGCCTTTCTGACAGTCTGCGCAAGTCTAAGTCGGCAGAAATGTTAGACAAGGCACAAAGTCGTGGAAGAAGCAGGAAGCCCAAAAGCATGTCCTTGGACAGGGAGAAGGGGGTACGAGTCTCTCCCATGGGACATGGAACTTCCACATCATCTATATCTCCAAGCTCCATGCTACCAGACTGGAAAATGCAGCGGCTTGAGGAAAAGGTGAAATTTTCACAGTTTGTAGATGAAATCACCTACCGGGTCCTAAGCCCTGCCAATCTAAAGATGTTGCGCGGGAACCTTCCAAGGTCCACACAGACCAAGCAGCACAATCCTCAACAGTATGAATTCAAAGACCATCATGAGAAAAAACAAGAAAGGTGCAGACCTTGGGATGAGTGGGCCACTCAGCATAGCAGAACAAGCAGACAATCAAAGGAAGGAAGACCCAAGACATGGCACATCCCGGGTGATAGTCCAGAGAGAGTGCCAGAAAAGCAGCATGTTGATCCCCATCGGGAAGGAGCCCGACCTAAAGCTGAAGGCCCAATTTACAGTCGGGTGGGGGGCAGCGATGATTCCGAATGGGATGACAGGACTCCACTGGGGGATCAGCTCCAGGTTCCCCATATAGAGAACCGAACCCTGCAGAAGGACAGTGTAGACAAATCAGGGTTGCCAAAGGGTGAGATTCCCACTATTCGTGTGGAGAGTGAGAAAACGTCTTTATCACAAGTGACTGCCTTTACTATATTATCACAAATCAAGGTATGTGATTGATTCATTTTTATTGCATGAATGTTCGCTTTTGCATTGAAATCTACCCTTTTAATTCTTGTCCCTGAATATCATTGCGCTTTTCAAACCAAATGTTTTGTTAATAGCAGTTTAGTTATCTTTAGCTATCTTTTCTTTTCATTTATTTACCCTCATGTCAGTTGTACTTCAGGGATTTTAAAGAATGTTGATTCTGCTTGTTTCAGTACAATTAAAGTAAATTTTGATGTTGAACTTTCCTTAATTCTGTCAGCATAATGGCCAGTGTCCTCATCTCACTCTTCTCAAATGATGTTTTGCTCTGAACTAAAACCCCCATCACTTTGGCAACAGTTTCATGAACTTTGCCCTTGGCAGTTTTATTTGGATCACAGATTTTCATTCGTCAACGAGGAAATACAGAATTAGTCTTCAAACAACAGCATTGTTTACAAGGTTCCTCTACATTTGACAAATGTTTAAAAGGCATTGCCATTTTCAGCTCAGTGGGATACAGTGGCCATTTAGCTGGTTGAAAAAAACAGGCTGTCAGAGCGATTTTTATAGCTTCACTAGGCATGTGCATATTGACCTGTTTGGCAAAGGAGATTGTCAAATGCTTTCCCTGCTTTTTTAAAAATGTTTTTTTGTTTGCTTTATTGCCTTTCTGACATTAATTAGGCAACAAAAAGGCCATTTATAACACTGATACCTGCCCCAGTGTGTGAATTTTTGCCGGTACTGCAGTGTAAAAAAAGAGCTATATTATCAGAAATTCATGACAACATATGTTTCTATGTTATGACATAGAAGTTCTAACTTAATGTTTTTTTTTTAATGATATCACCTAATGGGAACATATATGCTGCCGGAAGTGGTGTTAGAGAGACTAGCAGAGGGCTCAACCTGCAGTCTGTGTGGGTCCTAACGCCCCAGTATATTGATGGGGACTCTATACTGCTCACTGAGCACCGTCTTTTAGATCAATGGTTCCCAAAGTGGGGGTCGGGACCCCCCGAGGGGTCATGGGACAATGAAAGGGGGTTGCCTGATGATTTACAAATATCTATTTATTTTTATTAAACCATAAGAATTTCCATATTTTATCCATAACCTAGAAAAAATAGTAATTTATAATTACTATATACTACATTATATAGTTAATATAGTAGCTAATAGTTACTAGTTCTATTCAATTGCGATCGTTGGGGTAATTACATTATATTAAAGACACAGCATAGCTTCAGATGCAGCAGTTTGATATTATAGATAGATATAGATAGATATAGATAGCCCTAACATCCATTAAAAAAATCTATGAAGAATAAACTTTGGTCTTTGGTGTGTGTGCGCCATTGCATGCAAAGTTTCTGTATTTATAACTACCTCAGAGGATATTGGGGGTCGCGAGCCACTGGCATTGTTATTTTGGGGGTCGCGAGCTGAAAAGTTTGAGAACCCCTGTTTTAGATGAGACTTTAAACCAAGGTCCTGACTTTCTGTGGCCATTAAAAAATCCCAGGATGTCTTTTGAAAAAGAGTAGGGGTGTAACCCCGGCTTCTTGGCCAGATTTGCCCACTGGCCTCTGTCCGTCATAGCCTCCTAACCATCCCCTTATCATAATTAGTCTCCTCTCCACTAATCAGCTAGTGTGTGGTGTGTAGTCTGGCTAAAAATAAGATGCTTTAACATTTAGGAATTGTTTTGTAGCCACATATAAAATAAGTTCAGAATCAGAGCAAAGTTTTTAATTTAGCCCCAGTCATATCACCCTGCAGCCTAAGGTTACTCACTGAAGCTAAGCAGGGCTGAGCCTGGTTAGTAGGAGCATGGGAGACCACATGGGAAAACTAGGTTGCTGTTGGAATTGGCATTAGTGAGGCCAGCAGTGGGCGCTCGACGTGTGGTCTGTGTGAGTCCTAATGCCCCAGTATAGTGAAGGAGACACTACACTGTCAGTGAATACCATCTTTCAGATGAGATGGTAAACCGAGGTCCTGACTCTATGTGGTCATTAAAAACCCCATGGTACTACTCGTAAAGAGAAGGGGTGTAGCTTGGTGTCCTGGCCGAACTCCCACCATCAGCCTTTACTTATCATGACCTCCCAATCACCCCATACACCGAATTGGCTTAATCATTGTATCTTTACTCCCACTATAGCTGGTGTGTGGTGAGCGCACTGGCACCGTTGTCCTTTGGGTGCCGTTGCATTATCCATGTGGATGCTGCACACTCTGGTGGTGGCGTGGAGAACCCCCTCATGATTGTGAAGCTCTTTGGGTGTACGGCCATACACAATAAATGTGCTATATTATTACACATTAAATAACATAGCCTATTGGTAAAAAAGACAAATGCACAGCAGTCTGAGTACTAAATAATATATGACGTTTGTTGTAAAATTCAAGATTGTGATTCCTCTAATACACAACAATGTTTATGTAAACATATGTTCAGTTTTTACATACTAAATGCATGCTCTTTCTTACAGGAGTCCTTATCAGATGCCGACAGGATCAAGTGAGTTTATTTTCTTTCTCTTCATTGTGACGTTTTCATTTGAGGTTTTCAAAAATGTTTCCAATTTCATTCATTGTTTAGCAGGGTTTTATTTTTTGTTTCAGTATTTAGTTCCTGTTTCCTTGTACAGGGTTTCTGATGGTTTTAAAGTTTTAAATAAATCCTAAATTGTTTTTCCATGAATAAACGCTTAAAAGGGTTTTAAATCAGAGCTGTGGCATTCATTTTTATAAGGACATTTGTTTTCTTGTTTTATTTTATATTTCTACAATCGTCATTTCTGCAGTGACAATCATTTAAATTGGTGCTTCAGTGCTATTATTCAGCGATATGATTCAGTGATGTGCTTGTATCTTATAATTAAATTTTAGATGTATAATTTGTAGTCCTATAATGTGCATGCCATGCAGATTCTACTGATATCTAGGCCCAAAAATTCTGCAGATTGTTTTTTAGTCTATCACAGGACGTCAACATGACGTCAGATGTACCCCAACGTAAAGGGGACGTTGCATTTTGTTTGGAAATAAAAATCTGGTTGATGTCAGAACCCAACTCCAATCCAACGTCAACATCCAACCTAAAATCAACCAGATATTAACGTCTAATGATGTTACAGCTTGACGTTGTGTGGATGTTACCACTGTGCCATCTATAATACGTTAGATTTTGGTTGTCATATCTGACGAATAAATCTCAGTATTTGACGTCAATATGACGTTGGTTTAAGATGTTGACTGGACGTTGAATTTTGGTCACTGTCCAACACAACCTAAAATCAACCAAATATTAACGTCTAATGATGTTACAGCTTGACGTTGTGTGGGCGTTAATACTATGCCGTCTATCAGACGTTAGATTTTGGTTGTCATATCTGACGAATAAATCTCAGTATTTGACGTCAATATGACGTTGGTTTAAAATGTTGACTGGACGTTGAATTTTGGTCACTGTCCAACACAACCTAAAATCAACCAAATATTAACATCTAATGATGTTACAGCTTGACGTTGTGTGGGCATTAATAATATGCCGTCTATCAGACGTTAGATTTTGGTTGTCATATCTGACGAATAAATCTCAGTATTTGACGTCAATATGACGTAGGTTTAAGATGTTGACTGGACGTTGAATTTTGGTCACTGTCCAACACAACCTAAAATCAACCAAATATTAACGTCTAATGATGTTACAGCTTGACGTTGTGTGGGCGTTAATACTATGCCGTCTATCAGACGTTAGATTTTGGTTGTCATATCTGACGAATAAATCTCAGTATTTGACGTCAATATGACGTTGGTTTAAGATGTTGACTGGACGTTGAATTTTGGTCACTGTCCAACACAACCTAAAATCAACCAGATATTAACGTCTAATGATGTTACAGCTTGACGTTGTGTGGGCGTTAATACTATGCTGTCTATCAGACGTTAGATTTTGGTTGTCATATCTGACGAATAAATCTCAGTATTTAACGTCAATATGACGTTGGTTTAAGATGTTGACTGGACGTTGAATTTTGGTCACTGTCCAACACAACCTAAAATCAACCACATATTAACATCTAATGATGTTACAGCTTGACGTTGTGTGGGCATTAATAATATGCCGTCTATCAGACGTTAGATTTTGGTTGTCATATCTGACGAATAAATCTCAGTGTTTGACGTCAATATGACGTTGGTTTAAGATGTTGACTGGACGTTGAATTTTGGTCACTGTCCAACACAACCTAAAATCAACCAAATATTAACGTCTAATGATGTTACAGCTTGACGTTGTGTGGGCGTTAATACTATGCCGTCTATCAGACGTTAGATTTTGGTTGTCATATCTGATGAGTAAATGTCAGTATTTGACATCAATGTGACGTTGGTTTAAGACAGGGGTGTCAAGCTAAATTCCCGGAGGGCCGAAGCCCTGCACAGTTTAGTTCCAACCCTGCTCCAACACACCTACCTGTAGGTTTCAAACAAGCCTGAAGGACTCAATTAGTTTGATCAGGTGTGTTTAATTAGGGTTGGAACTAAACTGTGCAGAGCTGTGGCCCTTTCGGAACTGAGTTTGACACCTGTGGTTTAAGATGTTGACTGGACGTTGAATTTTGGTCACTGTCCAACACAACCTAAAATCAACCAAATATCAACATCATCTGACGTTATTATTGGATATCAAAATAATGTTGTCCTTAGATGCTGGCTAGACGTTGAATTTTTATAACCTGACATCATGACGTAAATCTAACCTAATATTTACATCTTATAACATTGTGTGCCTGCTGGGATGATTGAATCTACATAAATAATTGTTAATTTCAGTCATTTTGTTAACTAATATGCAAATGTTTATATGATTTATTTACTATACAGTTTGCAAAGTAAGATTTTTCTGTCTTGCATGATATGTTATATGAGAAACTTGCTTCGTTTACCAAACAAGCAGATCTAAATGGATTTGCATTTCAAACTTTAAAGTTCAAAATGATTATTTTTTATTTAATGTTTTGCGTTTATAGAGACTGTACTCCCAAAAACATTTTGAAAATGCACAATTTTTGTGCAGAAATAGCAGAAAATGTCTGCAGATTCTGTCTGGCCTTGCCAATGTCCAAACTGATCAAATCAAATATATATGTATATGTATAATTGATCGTTATCTGTATGCATACATGTGTGTATGCGAGACGTTTATTTCCCACTACCTGCATTCCTAGGCCAGTGTTTCCCAATCCTGTTCCTGAAGGCACACCAACAGTACAGATTTTCAACCTCTCCCTAATCAAACACACCTGAATCAACTCGGAACATTAGAAGTGGGTCAGATAAAGGAGATATCCAAAATATGGACTGTTGATGTGCCTCCAGGTACAGGGTTAGGAAACACTGGTCTAGGGAGCACACGAAGAGTTGGTTTTATAGAAACTGTTGATATATGTGTGGTGTGAATGAGGTGATAGCAAAAATCATGGACTTCCACGATGAACAGACACATGAAGCAGGCTTTCCATGGCAGACAGGATGATAGTCAGCATTCAATGTTTTCATTTGTTCTGATCCATTCTGAATAACCAAACAATCTACGTACAGTAGTTTACATGCTTTGTCCTTGTTGCATTATTCATTAAGCATTCATTTAAATAAACTTATTTTTGTAGTTCAAACAATTCTGAAATTGTAGTTAAGGTGTTATAACGTCCCACGTATTGAGAAATAGTCAGGTTTAAATCGGACTCGGGGTCATTATTATAGTTGACCTGACACAAGGTTCTCAGGTAGGGTCGGGTTTAATTTTTAGGGCCCCTAAACTCTAGTTGTTATTGAAAAGGTCTTAAATTTAGCCTCAGAAAACCTGCAGAAACCCCGTTGTATAATTCATGACATGCATTGAAGAGTTCAAGTGTTAGGTAGCATTAGTCACCTAAGCTGACCCTAAAGCTGATTATTCATTGTCTCTTGCTGTTGAATGGCACGGTTGGCCAAGAGCCAATCAGGTGAGAAGGTTTAAGGGATTCCCAGCTGATTATCCCAGAGACTGCAGAGCGATGGGGGCTGACTCTAGGGTTTACGGGGTATTTGGGCGAATGTCAGAATGACAGGCTGCTGGCTGTGAGGTCTTGTGATAAAAGAGTTCCCACCTTCTATTAACATCAGACGTCCTCTCGTCTCCCCGCTGCCCCTCAGGTGCTCACTGGGGTACTAGGTCGAATCCTCTTTGATCAATGACATCTTGCCTACATTTCAGGCACAGAGGGATTGGTAGGCTTTTAGGCTTCAACGCCAGCCAGCAGGGGCTCTTAGCCAGTGAGGAGGTTCTGCTTTCTGCACAGGGGCTCAAGGCCCACTGGAACTAATGCTCAAAATTCAGCACCTGAGTTGTGCTATAGTTTTAAAAAGTGTTTCCCAAACCTGTTCCTAATGGCACACCAACAGTACACATTTTTAACCTTTCCCTTATCAAATACACCTAAATCAACTCATCAGAACATAAGAAGAGACTCCAAAACCTGAAGTTAATAGGTCAGATAAGGGAGACATCCAAAATATGTACTGTTGAAACACTGATGAAACACTGGCTAGAAATATATATTTTTATTTTTAAAGGTCCCGTGAAATTAAAAAATAAAATAAATTGGCTGTTATTTTTAGTCATTACCCCCTTGTATCTAGCAGATGTCCTTAACGTGCAATGATTGACCAGTGAATCCAACTCGTTTAATCAATCTAATTGAACAGTGAATATAGGAAATCGCAGTTTGTCTATTTTATTAAAACTATTTTTCGCAAGAAATTTAAAACAAGGCAACACAAAGATGGTGAACCTACCACAGGATTCCTGAGGTGCTTTTATTTTTATACTTAAATTTGCTAGCCTGGCTTGCATAGCTTCCATATTACGTACGTTTTTATCATTCTTTGTTTTTAAGACAATTACTTTATATTTAAAGTCCCATGAAATTTTAAAAAAAATTAGATGTTAGTTTCAGTCAACACCCCCTTGTATCTAGCAAATGTCCTCAGTGTGCAACGTTTGACCAGTGAATCCAGCTCGTGGAATCAACCTAAATAAACAGTAAATTTAGTAAATCGCAGTTAGTCTATTTTATCAAAATATTTTTTTTTCATATTTTTTAAAAGGGAAGGAGCTACTATGTCCCACATCTTTTTCTTTTCTTTTTTCAGTTGAGATTACTTCAAACATCGAATGAAAAAAAATTCACATTTCAAAGCACTTCACGGGACCTTTAAGTGAGATTGCCACACTTCTGCATAAAGATTGTGCCAGTGAGATTACTGTAAAGATTCTTAAAACTATTTTTTATTCTCAAAATGGACTAGTTGGTTACCTGAATTATTTTAGTTAGTTTTTTTTTTTGGTGCAGTGTTTGTTTGATTGCGAAAAAATATAGTAGAGATTTATGGTTTGTTCACATTGGTCGCAGATGAAGCGTTAGGTGCGAGTGATTTACTGTTTATTAAGTTTATTTAAAGGTGCAATGCGTG